CCTTTCTCTCTTACATCTATAGCTTAATTGCTCCCTGAAGTTGGAAAAACAAATGTTCCTATTGGGCTCTTAAAAATCTTAACAATCTTTTGATTTTCCACTTTAAGAAATCAAGTGATAAAAAGGGAGAACATTATTACTTTTTAACCATGACATGAATTCCTGAAGAGAAGGCTTATTTTTATAAAAGCTCTTGTTCAGTCAGCCCATTCGTTGTGCTGACATCAGAGATGGAGAGGGATAGGGAGTAAGAGGCTCAAGAGGCCTAAACTTGACACAAAGTGTGGCAAACTTAACACCAAGCCTGGCGTTGGCATGGCCTGGATGCTTGTTAAAAGTGCAGATTCTAGACCCACCCAGACCTACTGAATCAGAGTCTGCACTTTAATAAGACCACATGGTGACTCATGTGCATCTCAAAGTCTCTTGGAGCTTATAGACTAATAAGGAAGAAAAATGTCATTCAAATAATATATGTTAAAGCATAGCCGTGAAGAATGCTACAAAGAAGTTTTTTTTTTTAATTTGCTATAGGATGCATGTGCTTGCTGGAGAAGTGTGTGTGTGTGTGTGTGTGTGTGAGAGAGAGAGAGAGAGAGAGAGAGAGAGAGAGAGAGAGGAAAAGAAGAAGGAAGGGAAATAAAAAGAGAGTGAGGACACATCCCAGGGAAATGGCCATAATACAACTCCTTAGCCATTTTCCTCTTGGGGTTTTGGGTACAGAAGCACATGTGCCCAGTGTGTTTTCCACGCTGCTGGGTATGGTACTTGAATGGCACAGTTGGCCATGTGGGATCTAGCTGCCTTCACCGCCATGCCACCAGGTGGCCCCTGCTATAAGGATTTTACAACCTTACGTTAGGGAGAATTTTTTTAATAGGCAAGGAGTCAGGGAAAGCATCCTTAAACAATGCACTGAAGTCTAAGTTGCGGGTGCAGGTAAGCCCATTCTAGTCAGAAGGAACAGCATGTGCAAAACCCCTTTGTCCAGCAACGTCTGAGGCCAGTAGTAACCCTGCACATAAATACCTTACATTCTCTTTTGTTGGGACCCAGCAATGGTGTGGTAATTAAGGCCTTGAATTCCCACAAGGACAACTGAGTAATTGTGACAGAGATCTTACGGCCAGCAATATCTAAAATATTTACCATCAGACCCTTTACAGAAAATCTTTTCTGATCTTGAGGCTTGACTTCTCTGGCTGCAGTTTTACTCTTAGTCTCCATGTCAAGGCCCGAAGTATAGGCACTCATGTGATAAATACCAAAATACAGTGGTCTGAAAACTGCAGTAGGGCACATAGAACGATAAAGGGTCTTCAAAAAGTTTACAGAAAATATGTATTAGGGAAAACTTTATGGACCCGCAGGAGGCATAGTTAAGGCACTAGATTCCATATGGCTGACTAAGAAGTCCAAATCCCAGACCCAGCAACTCGAAAAACACACCAGGCATGTGTGCATCCCGATGGCAGAATGGAGAAGGAATTACAGTATGGCCATCCCCCCTGGAGGGTGATTTCTCACTTTCCTTCCTTCTCTGTCTTTCTTGGTCTCTCTTCAGTGAGCTCATGGCCCAATAACCAAAAAAAAAGAAAAAATAATTATGTGTGGATTTCAAAAAGTTTTGGACCGGAGGCTGGCAGGTAGCATGGTGGTTAAGGGCGTTGGACTCCCACATGGCTGACTGCGGTTTGAATCCCAGACCTGGCAACTCACTTTCTCACTTTCCCTCTCTGTCTCTCTCTCACTCTGTCCCTCTCGGATAAAATTAAAAAACGAGTAAATAAAGTTAAATAAAATCAATCTTTAAAAAAAATTTTGGACAAAAATGAATTTGTACTTTAATTCCATTTTCTAAATGAACTTTTTGAAGTACCCCCATACTTTCCAGATTTTTCCTTAGCTGTTTCTATTTTTAGTATGAGTTATTCATTCATTAGTTGATATTCAAACATTTAAGGAAGACCTACAATATGTGTATGCTGATTGTGCTAAATGCTGAGAGACTAAGATGAATAAGACTCGGGTCTCAGGATGCTAACATAGGGGAATGGCTCGTAAAACGCAGAGTATGATGTCCTAGAAGAGGCAGAACCTGGAGCCAAGGAACCCCAGAAGAGGAGGAAAAACCTCTGCATGGGACATCCGAAAGAAAGTGGAATCTGAGACAAGCCAAACAATGGAGAATTATGAAAGTAAGGAATATGGTTTTGAAATGAGTGCCTTAATTTGACAATACAAAGGAGCATGTTAGAATGTGAGTCTGAAAGGCAGGAGGAGACTAACCCTGAAGGACTCCAGATGTATAGAAGGCAGACCTTGGGAGACTGGCTGCAGCTTCAGTTACATTAACGGGATCTGCAGTCTTGGTACAATCATTTGATGTCTCCGGGGTTCAAATTTCTCATTTTAAAAGAAGACCAGATAATCTTCAAACTCCTTTTCAGAGGATTTTGAACAAGACAGTATTATGAGTAGAGCTGCTTCTCAAGAAGATGGGTCCCTGGAGAAAAGAGGTAGTAACCCCATATCTTTCACTCCAGTCAGGTGATTGACAGGGAGAAGAAAGAAATCTTTTTACATCATGACAGCTGGGTTATTGTAGAGACATATCCCACCAATACACTGGATCATAAAATTAGAATTTCCTCCATTATGTAGAAGGGACTTTAATGACTCTTTCCTGGTCATTCATTCATTATTTATTTATATCATTATTCTTCAACTTGACCAGAGAGAGGCAGAGAGAGAGAGAAAGCAGGCCACCAAGTCTGAGACTCAAACCATGGTCAACCATGTGGAAGTCCAGTGCCCCAACCACCATCCTTGATGATTCTTTTTTTTTTTTTTTTTTTTTGAGAGGTTTTTGCTATAGGGCGCGTGCGCTCGCCAGACAGAGAGAGACAGAGAGACAGAAAGCGAGAAATCACCCCCCAGGGGGGATGGTCATGCCGCAATCCCTTCTCCTCCATTCTCCTCTCGGGATCTTGGGTACGCACGCACATGCGCCCGGCGTGAGTGCTAAGCCACCGGGTCCGGGACGTGAACCACGGTCGACTACGTGGGAATCCAGCGACATAGCCATTACGCTAACTGCTGGTTCCCCCTTGATGATTCTTAATAAAGAAATAGGAATATTTCAGGAATATTACAAAGAGAATTACACTGGGGAAAATTTAGAGATCATTCAATGAATGACAGTTTACACAGCTTTAAGGAGAAATGGTGTTGACCAGATATCAGGAAGTTAGAACATGATCAGGGAGGAAGGGGTTTTTCTTTCTTCTTTTGGGATCTAGAAAGCCTTTGCTGTATTGAGGTGTGCCTTTCATACCTAGTTATTGAGGATCTTCATTATGGAGGTAATGTCACATGTTATCAGATGCTTTTTCTGCATTGAAATGATACGGATTTTTTCGTTTATTCTGTTGATGTAATATAATACATTCATCAATTTGTGTATGTTGAATCATCCTTGCCTCCCTGTCATAAATCACACCTGGTAACTGTATACCCTTTTCAATGTGCTCTTGGATACAGTTTGATAATACTTTATTGAGGATTTTTACGTCTTTCCATCAGAGATACTGATCTGTAGTTTTTTTCTGTTGCACACTTTTCTGGTTTTGCTATCAGGGTAATACTAACCTCATGAAATGAGTTTTTAATTCTCTCCCCTTTAATTTTTTGAATACTTAGAGGATAATTAGTGTAACTTTTCCTTTTAAAGTTCAGTAGAATTCAACAAAGCCATCGAGTCTTGAGCTTTCCTTTGTAGAGAGGCTTTTTATTACTCATTTATTACTCATTGCAGTTCTGTTCAGGTTTCAGTGTTTTCCTGGTTCA